AGTAGTAGTAGTAGTAGTGGCAGTAGCAGTAGCAGTAGCAGTAGCAGCAGCAGTAGCAGTAGCAGTAGCAGTAGCAGTAGCAGTAGCAGTAGTAGTAGTAGTAGTAGTAGTAGCAGTAATAGTAGCAGTAGCAGTAGCAGCAGTAGTAGTCGTCGTCGTAGGAGTAGTAGTAGTAGTAGTAGTTGTTGTTGTTGTTGTTGTAATAGTAGTAATAGTAGTAATAATGGTAGTAATAATAGTAGTACTAGTAACTTCATTTCATCGTATATTACTACATATGATTAATCTGATTGTTGTGTGTTATTATATGTTTTTGTTTATTGGTGAAAATGAGTAGAAATAGACATATACATATATATATATATATGCACATACGTCGTAATGTTACTACTATATACGACCATGTACTTTATTGTGTTACTATGTACCGTGACATATTACCATGTGGTTTTCTGCATTGTTTTGAAGAACTCCAATATGTTTGCGGAATCTTGTAGCTCAACAAAAGGGTGGCGTCCTCGCTTTGAGGGCAGCAGAAGAAGTCGTACCTTGGATCTTGTGATTATGCGGCGTCATACAGACAGAATGTCACAAAACGCCGTTAACGAATATTGCAAAGGCTTCTTGGTTAAAAGCATCTTTTTGGGTTTCTGTCTTGGCATTTTTGCTTCGGACTTGTGCGCCAATCCCCTTCGCCCCATCTCACCTCTGAGATGCGCCTCATCTTGAGCATGGCTCCTACGTATCCTTCAGAAGTGCTTCTCCATGCAACTGAACCAAAAGCTGCTACGTGAGCACATGCATTTGGAGGAGCTCAAGAACTTTCAAAACCTCACACTTCCACGTGTCGATCTCCTGGAGCACCACGAGAGCTTAAATTTGAGGCTATCTCAGGAAAGATTTAAGAAGAAATCATCCTCTACCCAGAAAACGTTTTCCTTACTACTAGAGAACATTTGCATAATTAAATCTTCTCAAGTCGGGGCGCCAAATGTACAGCGGCTCTTGCCTCATCTCTGCAGCTGAATCGATCGAAAAACGACCAAAGAAGATCTCCGTGCTCACGTCGATCGATATCTGACCTTTTGGGCAGAAATTCCTGCCTCCCTAGACCTCGGGCTTCGCTGCTTTAGCAGTGCCTCTTTTAGAACCCGTTCGAACCCGAACTTCCATCCGAATATGGCATGCCGAACACTCTCAGGCAAAGTTGCTGTCTCCTGAAAGGATGTTGCGCAGGGCCTGCTGCAGCACCTCCACACGTCAAGGCTTCTCCCTTCTCACTGTATGCAAACTCCAAAGGCAAAGAAAAGAATGGAGAACCAGAGGGAGGACCCAGGGAAGACCCACGAAGGAGAGGAGCTCTGTCTTCGAAACCTTGCGGCAGAGTTTCAGCCACGGCCCTCTAAACTCCTCACAGCTGTGCTCTAGACTTCTCCAGACCTTTTCCCTTTCCCTCCCTTTCCCTCTTGAGGCCTTGAATTGGGCACCAGATGGATCAGGATGCGAACGCGAGAGCCATTGGTGGGACACGAAGATGACCTGACCTAAACCGATCGCAAACTTTGTCAACAAACCTTCCTTCATTAAATCCTCGTGTGGCTTCAATGAGGCAAGCTGAAGGAGGGCGTCGATGAACCTCGGTGCCAGTTGAGCCCCCACTATATCAGGCCTAATGGGTTCCACCTTACAATCCCCTGTCACAAGACTCCCTGTTCCAAAATCTGCGCCCGCTATAGCAAAGTGAGTCACAACAGTCGCGACCCCTCAACCTCTTGAACTTTCGCGCGTTGATTTATGTTGGCTTAAATGAATGAACTTGAAATCATGTGCACGGCTTTGGAATTTGCAACCCGCTTTCCCTCCAACTGAAAGCCAAGAATTATGAGGGGAGCAACATCACGTACATCGGGAATGGCAATTCTTTCCACTGCTTCTTCTGCTCCTGTCTGCAATTGGGGTGCAAGGCTTAAGCAATAAGGATTGGGGGGGCTCCAGTAACCACAATTCATGTATCAACTGATGGCTTCGTAGGAACGACCCTCTGAGACGAACCTTTGCCTTGGGAATGGACTTCCCGAACACACAGAAGCCCTACCACGTCAGAACAGAAGGCATAACCTGCCAAAATTGTTGGTGGAGCTGTCAATTGAATGCTGTATAGACCTGCAGCCCAAATTAATCAACAGTTGTTCAAGAGCCCTTGAATCACCTGCCCTACCCATGGGGGCATCAATCGGGGAACCCGGCAAACCTGTGCGTTCCTGCACGTTTGTAGGAGACAACTACGTGGCCAACAGCGGCAGACAACAGCAAACAGTGGCTACAGTACCAGAGGCAATACAGGGTCACAGTACACCAAACCCACCAACAACATCTGTCAATGCCGAGACAAATAACGAAGCTGAAAACTAGAGAGGCTTTGGGCTCTGCCGGGCCAGAAATGGCCATGTCTACGTGCCTACAGCATCGCCAAAAGCAACTCCCAGCAGTGGAATTACGGCTGAAGGGCCCAGCCATCAACATTGTACTAGAGCTTCCTGAAGCTGCTTTGGAATTGAAAAACTTATTCCTGTTCCTACACCAAAATGCATGTCCAGCAAAGCACAGCAAGGCGCCGAGCTCCCACGTCCCCCATGACTCGTCCCACTCTCAACCAAACCCTGTTTGTGGCTCCTCCTTGACCGTGGCCGCATATTTTAACAGTGCTGGGGATGTGCCGGCTGTACCACTGCAGCGATTCCATGGTAACCAGGAGAGCATGGCGCAAGAGGCTTTTATTAATCTCGAATGGAAAACCTCAGCTAAAATTGACATTGACCTAGCCCCTTCCTTACTGCTATGAAAAGCTTCCCTCCTAGAATCGAGGCACCCAAACTCGTGTACGCACCTTCGCGTCCTCGAGCTCAACATTGGCAGTCAGGCACAGGAAGCTGTTTGTCACCATGCACGACATGCGCTGGCAATGTGTGATGCCACTGAAGCAGTGGCACCTGGACGCATCGTGAACTGTGGGCACGATATCACGATTCTCCGCGAAGAGCAAACCTCCCTACATGCAGTGCGCCACCCGCCCCACCCCCCCCGAGCCATCAAAGCAAGAACTCCATGGCCGACTGTTTTGTTTGGTTCTGGGATGTGGGGTTTGTCGTGTCTAACCTGTAGCGGAAGTCGCTGCATGGCGCAGAAAACCAAGACTTGAGACTCGCTGGCTCGCCGAATCGCCGGAGGGGCTGCAGGGCGAGCTTCCCAAGGACAGGTCATTGTCTGACCAGTGCTGGTTTCGGGCCGACAAATCGATTGGAAAGGGTTGCAAGGGCTCCCCGAGATTCAAGCTTTAACAAGCTTTAGCGTTAACTTTGATTAAAAGGAACCAATGAATCTAGGGTCCGCCACAGTCTTGAAATCACTTGACCCGCCGCCATTCCCATCAAGCGTGAGCAAACAGATGGATGCGTGGGGGCACTAGGACAAGCGGAGACAGCCACAAACAGCCAACAGAGCGGACAGGCGTCTCAGGGATGCACACCAAAACCAACCAAAACAGAAAAAGCTATGCACTTGCGCTCTAGGGGGCCTTTGTTGAGCCTTTGCCAACCTGCAAAGCACAAAAGCTCATAGTTATATTTAAGGTATGGCAATTCTTGGCGCTTCCCTGGGTATGCCTCAACTTTCCGACTGCTGACATACTAAGCCGGAGGATGCACCCTCCCAGAATCCACGCGACGGTAAGGACTTATCGAGTTGATAACCAGGTTGAGGATTTACGTACTCTGGTTCCTCCGACTCTACGTTGAGGATGCTTTGATGCCGGTTGGCCTCGTCTACCTTTCACCAAACCATTAGACATCCAACCTAGTCCAATGCATCTCAGAGATTTAAGGGCAATCTGAAACCCCAAAAAGTAACCTGCTGAACCTTCCCAGGACATAGTTTTATAGCCATCTGCAATCTGACGAGTCAAACGTTCCCGCCCCTTCTGGTGCTTTGATGCTTTTCGATTTTGATGTCGGTGATTATGGGCACAACCTTGGAAAGCTGACTGTTCGTTGGCGATGGTTGCCTTGTATCTCTTTTGTATTCCTTTGAGTGCTTTGCTCTTGTCCAGTCCTGTCCATCTGACACCTCGTTTGGTTTCCAGTTCGTATTTCTCGTATCTTTATGGCTTTCTTAACGTGGTTGAGTTCTGTTTCAGTCTCTCCGCACGTGGGCTTCCCCTATCAAAGTTCTATGTTCCTTCCTGTGTTGTGAGTTTCTAAAGTTCTAAAGGTCCTTTGCATTGCGTTTAAGCATTTCTCCGTCCTACAATCCAAAACAGACTGTTCCGACCTTGAAGCCATAGATTTATTACCAGCCCTTCAGAATACAAAATAGAAGTGCTCACTGGCGGATGTTCAGGTGCTGTGGAAATGGCTGAGCTTCAGTGCGAAAACATTCTTACCGGCAGTGGATGTTCTTGTGAAGGTTCTTTTGATTCAACAGCGGTTTTGGTATCTCGCGCAGACTTTTGTTTGACGATGCTCTCCCAGGCTTGATCTGCGTGATATGGTGAATCTGCAGTCTAGACATTTGAACAGGGTGTTCAATGCATGACTATAGTATTTCTGAAGGTGTTGAGGGTCGTACAGCTTGTCTTCATACCCTACGTCCGGTTTGCGTCGCGTCCGGTTTGCGTCGTGTTTGACAGGTCGGTGCGTTGTTGGGAGTGGTTGGCTTCAACACCATTGATTACCATGCAGCAGGGGCATGTTCAATGTTTACTTGTCCAAAGCCGACTTTCTTTCAGTTTTTTGGTTTGCCGGTTGAGTTTATGGGTGTTCTTGGAGGGTGGGATTCAGAATTGGTCGGACGCCGGGATTGATGGACTTGGGACTTCTTTGAATCAACTTTCCGTGAAGAAGTCGTTTCTTACGTTCTAGGGATGGCAAAAACACGATTTCTTCAAGCAGCTGGTGTCACGAATTCTTCAAGCAGCTGCTTTCATTCCAAGGTTTCAGAGGGGTCTCATGGACTTCTGGAGAGACTTGGCGAGAGCTTCGTCCATGTCTAAACCCCTACTGATTGATCCCTTTAATTGCCTTCCAGCGATCGTAAATGACTGTTCCTGCCCCTGCTCTTCCACGACGAATTCGTCAAAATGATGTGACAGGAACGATTCTTATCTCTTAGCTACGCCAACTTCACTCGCACCTCTGCTTGATGTAGATGTACAGTAGTCAAGCGAGGCACAACAAAAATCAACTAACGCACATGACGCAATGCCACATTCCTCAAACTTGACTACACGCATGCAGCATGAAGCACAATTGGAATTCCACTAACTGCAAAAGACCACAAGGGTTGTCTTGCCCCAGTGCCTTTTACTGGCTTATCCACTCAGTTTCACGTCTTCGTGAAACCTGTGGTGCGGAGGTGAAGTGACAGGTATTCATGCGGAGACTTGCCTGGGTGTAGGAGAACTATCTTCAAACTAGGGATCGTGATGCATGTGATACATGCAACATCCGCCCAGGCAAACTTCTGTTGAATTAGCACAGGCATCGGGCTGCGTCCGGCCAACGCCTCACTTGCCAGCACAAAAGCTCCGAATCCCACTCCAGCTCCCGATCCCTCGTGCTGTTGTCCTGAGCAATCTGCATGGCGTGATGCACAGACTGAGAGAAAGAAAAGGAGACATGACAATAACAACGACACAACGATGTCGACAACTACGACCACGACGATGACGTGTGCTTGAAGCTGCTGCAGGGGTCTAAATAATTGCTGCTGCCTGTGAGCAGTCCTTCCCTTTGTGGATCATGAAGCACCACATCTGAAGCTACTACCACACGCGGAGCCGCAATAACCCGTGAAAGGCATCACTGAGCTTACACAAGACCGACATCTACGAACATCCGGCATGTAAAGTTGCAGAATATTCACGTTGACCACCCTTCACGCCCAGCTCAAGCGCTCAGTATCCCCTACACTGGCAGTATGTTCCAACACTTTGAACCAGATCCTGAGCTGGAACGACCAAGGCCTGGTCAGAGAACCAAAGAAAAAGCAGCCTTTTGTGGCTTTTGCTTTGCATGCGTATTGCCGCAATCGATGCGCTTGGCAGGCAGGGCCCACTGGAGCATTGAAGTCGCGCCTCGCAGACAGCCGACAAGGATCATGCCGCCCCGCCTGCAGCGCAAGTGGCAGGCTGGTCATTTGGGGACCCCTTTTAAAAATGCTGCATGGGAATGGGTTTAGAGTTTGGGATTAAGGGAAGCGTTATGACGCGCCGCTAGCAAAATTCTGAAGGAATTACAATTACAAGGCTTGGGCAGCTTGCGTTTAAGGGAGTAGGGCCGAGTGCAAAACAAGCGTTCCCTAAAGCAATAGCCCCGAACTAATCTCAGCCCCTGACAGCTCCCAAACCCCAAGCCCCTCAACGCATAGACCACGAACACCCTAAGCCTCCTCTAGAGGGGGTATCTGTGCTGTTGGTGCTGCGCTTGATTCCTCTTCGTAAGAAATCAGTGGACTGACTGTGCAGCCCTGCGGTTGCAAACCTTCTGGACGTGTGCCAGATGTACGAGAAGCCGGATGCTTTCTTGCGCCGGTCTCAGGTGTTGTTGCAATGCTGCATGAGAGTGCGTGTATCTCTATGTACAACACGTTACATACATAATCACACATCCACATATGATTGTGTAAGCCTGCTAGCATGCAAGTTTATGCACATGTTGTGGGTATATAGTTATAGCCACAGCATATATGATATGTATCTGCAAACATACACGCACATCAGCCAAGAGAGCGGCGGGACACCAAAACAACTAGATACAACGTCCTGCATCCTCCTGGCCGACAAAAGCTTTCTACGTAAGTTAGGTCGAAATCCTGGCTCCCAATTTTTACAAGTGCCCTCCTAACTGGTCAGTGCAGCGTCCGCGGGCACGGTGAAGCGCACGGAGACAGGCATGTGCTCCTCTTGCATGCTGAACTCGTCTGTTAACTGATAACCCCAGACTTGAAATTTCACGACTGCTGCCTCAACGATGTTGGTGACCGCATGGTCGAACTTGCAGCATGTGCTGGGGTAGCAGCATGTTTCCGAGTCTGGAACCACAAATGATGGTGGGTTGCCCCCGACGAGCCGGTGCCAACTATCAAAAGATCCACCTCTTACACCGGCAGCGTCCACGTTCCAGTCTCCAACTGCAATGGCGCAAGAGACCCTTGAATCACCGCACACACTTTCGACAATGGACTGACCACTCTCGATCGGCTGATGACCAGGGTGCACTGCCATCACGCAGAGAGTTTCGCAGTTGGACACTGGATTTGGCGGCTTGACGAGCAAGACAGCTAAGCCCCGCTGACCATCGCAGCAAATGTTGCCACCGCCCTCTTTCAACACCTCCCATCCAGGTGCAACCATGACTGAAACATCATCTTCGTACTCGTGTGAGGAAGACCAACCAGACAGAGATGTTGATGCTCCTTTCAGCTCCAAAGCTCCCACAATATCTGCCCCTGACTCCGCCACTAATTCTTTGAATCTTGTGAGGGCTGCAACTGTGCAAGCAGAATCTGCCTCGGCACATTGCCAATGCGGTTCCCAATGGAAGGTGGTGATGCTCACCTAATTCTCAAAACATGGACGGACCTTAATTGCACTCATATCGCATCGATATGCTGACCCGCTATGATACCCTCCATAAATGGACAGTGAATTGATATCCCCTCAATTCCCTAAGCCCGCTGCTTAAAGGAAACCCTGAATTTTCATCAAACCAACACCTGAAGAGCTGTTGCCGCTTCAGTTGGCGGGGCAGTTGCCGTATCGGCCTCGGGGGAGGTCGACGTGTTTTTGCGCCGAGCTCGTGTCTCGTTGGTCGGAGTGATGTTTAAGAAGTTATGCGGTTTGTCAGTCTCCTGTGGTCCCCTTACAGGAGTTATAGAGGATTCTGTGGGCTTCAGTGAAGTTGGCGCGTTTGTGGCAGCTGTGTTGGTAGCTGACGGAGCTGGATGCAGCTTTAACTGGACCATGCCCTGAACATCATGACAATCACCCTGGCATGCCATCTGACTCTCAGGACAGTGAAATTGCATCGATAGCATCGACAACGTGATCCATGTGCGAGCCATGGCAATAGAGGCAGGGCGATACTGTGGACAAGCAACTGCAAGGGAGAAATTTGAACCAAACTCGGCAAGGGAAGCTACACCAAGTCCCGAGCACTTCGCCCGACAGTTACCCGCCGAATCCAGGAAAAAGGAATTGCCGCTAGCAAGGCACCCTCAAACACCAGCAGCCTTCGCACAAATTGCAAGTAGCATGCACAATTGCGAGGCACATTTGATATTCAGACTTCCTTGGCAGTGCTGCCGCATGAAATTACAGGGATTCCAACTTTTCCAAGCACCATTTGTGGTGTCGGGTTGGGGGCTGTCTTGGAAAAAGGGTATGCTTAGGGACTCAAGGGGCAACGACGACTTGTTGTATTTATAGGGATTGCACTTAGTACCCAACATTGACACTGCGAAGCGGCTTGTAAAAACTAGGAAACGTTAATATGGACTTCAAGGTCTCACTTGGGGCTGCAGACTGGCAAGCTCAAGGAAGCTTGCCTAAAGATGGAAGTATTGGACAGCCCCATGCCATTGGTGATGAACTACGTATGCAGACGACTTCCAGCACCTCACAATCATGTCGCGTGACAACGCCACGAGCAAAGTCTAAGGTTGAGGCGGCATGTTTCGAAATGGTCGTGCGCAGTCCGGCCTGCAAGGAGCTGGCTGAATCAAATGGGAGTGTGCCAAACTGGTAGTCCCTTTTGAGGGCTGCTAGATTGAGGGTTCTATATGGTGCTGTGCAGGTTGATGTGTTGCCGGATGTACGAAGCCATCATCATCGTAAAAGGCTTATAACTGAGACTTTAGGGTTTCTGCTTTGCTAAGTTAGTGGGATATAGCCGCTGGTACGGCAATGCAAGGCTTCTCAACAAGACTCGACTTTCCTGCTTTCTAGTGGTGCAACAAGGCTCTCTATGCCTAGCCATCAGTACAAAGGATTGTGCCCGCAATGACCTCTGTGGAACGCAACTTGCTGGAAGCCAATATCGCTCAAGTTTTCGTTGAAAGCCTGATCATCCATTGCAAGCTGTTTACACCTCAAGGCCTTGACTTTGCTGCTGCCTGCGCACCAAGAAGGCGAAGACTTCAAGTAGCTCAGACGAACTTGGGAGTTACCGTTGGTGCTGCAATATGTTGCAGTTCCCGCTGTATACTACAGTTGCTTGGGGCCCAGATTTCATGTGGAGTCACTCCCACCTCGCAACAGGAAAGGGTGTTTGCTAGCCAAGAAAGCTGCAAAAGTACTAAGGCGTAGGTGGTCGGTGGTCCTTTGTGGGAGTACCCGTTTGGTTTCGATGTCACCTCCCCGCAATTGGTAGTAAAGGCCTCGGTGCCTCCGAAGTTTGCCGCGGACCATTGCTGGAAGCTCAAAATAGAGGTCTAGCTCGTGCATTGCATGCTGGCTTGACTGGTTGCGGGGTTGACGCGCAGTTGCATTTGCACATGTCGTTCTGCAAATCTTTTTTCCTTGTTGTGCATCCCTGTGCTGCCCATCTGCAACCTGCTGGCAGTAGCTGTGTTTGCTGTATAAACTCCTTGCACATAGCTAGCACGAAACTGGAATCACTATGCGCGGAACATGGAACGTATACCACTCATCTTAAGCTGCTCCGCGACTGGACTCAGCTACGTTCATTGATAACGGTCTCGGCTACCTAAGAGTGGCACCGAGATATTAGAATTGTATACACTTTGCTCCTCTCGACACCGGGAAGACAGCAAGAAAGGCCCTCATGCGGCACTCAAGCTGCACGATGCTTCGCATCATGGCAAGCCTGCCTGCCAAACGGCTAGCTGTTATATGGCCATACTTCATACTTCATGTACGTCCTTGTTTGATGTCAGAGAATTTACGCTCGAGCCCGCTCAACTCTTTTCACAGGGTCAATGTTAAGCTGTCTCCATGTTTACGAGTCTTCCGCCTACGCAGGTCGATATAGGCGAATTCAGCACCGATACCAGTTCTGAACATAGCTGCATGAAAAAAGCGTTCACAGGATTTTCCAGCTCGTCCTTCCATTTGCTCAGCAATGTCTGGTGACGAGTGAGATAATGTCTTCGACGTCTTTGAGTGAAGCACAAGAAACAAAAGCCCGAACTAATCAAGCTGATCAGCTATAATGACAGGACCTTTGCCGCGGATAAGCCATTGAGAATTGCGGCCTCTCAGGAGTTCATGGTATATCTTGGTAACTGCCATTCTCAAGAGCCACCCCGCGGGCGTCCAAATGAAGGCCAATTGGGCTGGCTGCCTGGAGATATGACTGAATCTAGAAAAGCAACACACTGCAGGGCTGCAGGTTGCACAATAAACTCATCGGTGCCGTCAAGGACCCACCAGGCAGCCCATAATGGTCTTGCGGTACTTAATGGAGTAAGAATCTCAAGGGCCCTTTAGGTCAGCAGCGCAGATCGTCGCTGTCCTGCGGACTGGAGGGTTCTTTTCACAGTCATTTTGGGTATGGGGACCTTCTTGCTCATGTGATCCGGGGGGGGGATGCAAGGATAGCAGAGAGCCCCGGCTGTCAGTGGCTTGTGAGATTTGTAGGGTGGACTTCGGTATTCAATCCTGACTCCTCAAATATGGCCTCATTAGATTGGGAGTCACAATCGAACTCGCTGAGGTTGCCGCATGGCATGAGTTGCGCTCATCATGATCGCATTCAGTAGGCCACGTTGTAAAGGGCTTGGGTTGCACCCCTGCGAAGCTATGGTTCTTGAACGGGCCCGTGAAAAATCCAAGCATTATCATGTTTCGGGCACGGATTCAGATTCTTGGTCTATTGTATTATTGTATTTGCATTAACTGGCTGTGATCTCTCCCTCTTTGACCCCCTGAAAAAGGCTCTGGGTTGTGGAAGCCCGTAAGGCACTTGAAAAACAAGCAAGCATTATCATGGTTTGGGCCTGGCTTCAGATTCTTGGTCTATTTTATCAATGATTTTTGCGGAAAAGGCCCTGGTTGTTGGAAATCCGTTTTGTGGTTGAGAGAACCACACGGGCTTACCGTACACATATGCAACTCGAACGTTGTTAATGGCTTGGGCATGGATGCTCGGGTTGCGGAGTGCGCTCAAAAAACCAACGAGCGTTATCATGGTTCGGGCATGGATTCTCTAGTGATCATGTGCACTCCGCGCCGGCTTACTCAAGCCAACAAGCGTCCGCATTAACGGTGCGCAACTCAAAAAAAGATGCCTAAACTCAGGGCCTCTTGCAGGCGTCGTTTACAAAACAGAAGTCATGTGAGCAGCTGCATAACTTACATATACACAGCTTAAACATTTCAAGAGTATCTCTTTTTTGGGGGGCCTATCGTTTTACAGGGTTTTGGCACACTGCGGTGTTCATACCTATCGTTTTACGGCGTTTTGCAAGATGCCTCGCCTGGATGCCCTACATGTTTGCTTTTGCTCATGAGTCGTCGATGTTGGGGGTATCTTGCTTGGGGGGACCCATTGTTTTACTAGGGTTTTGTTCATGTCGGGCTATCCTTATCACGATAATAAAGGCGGTAGCTCATGTGCGAAATGAAGTGGCCAGGCAAAATAAGCGAACAAGCGTCCTCTTCGGAGTCCGAGAGGTTCTCTGGATTAGGGTCCAAGTTGATGTGGCCCAACCTCTCGATAGTGCATGCCTGCCTTGCCTTGCACTCAATGTTGGATGGTTCCTGGAGACGCTGACTGGCATCTGCTGAGTTGCGACTACAACAATAATATAGCATGGCTTCTGCAATACCACCAGTCATCCTAGTCGCAGCTTGCCTGGAGAGATTTAATAACGGGAACAACAAGGGGAATAATGAAAGAAGATTGAAGAACAATCGCAACAAAGCCGATTGCAACAATCCAGCAATCTCCAGGAGCGTAAGCCTGTACTCTGAAGATGCATTATGCCAGAGGTATTACGGAATGTGCTGCGCCGATCATTGCTTCCAGAATCATGATACCAAGCTTTGACATCAGAAGTGCGGGTAGCCGCTACTAGTACAGGAGTTGTTGATTCTATTGGTATTTTCATGCTCTATGCCCCATTTGTCCTGGATCCTCCTGGATTTCTCAGAGCCGGAAACCTAACCCAATTGGCAATTTCTGAGCACAGCTCCACAGCCCTATGACTGCTACCCAAATACTGGCGCTTTGCGCATTGTGAGGCCGAGCTGTGTGGAATGCAACACGTGGAGCACGTGGCGATTGTAGAGGTCAATCCTGCGCCCGCGTGCCGTTCAGATCAAGGGCGCAGCAAATTGCAGGCCAGGCTAGTGTCAGACTGTCAGGACAAAGCAAACGGCCCTAGGCCGGGGACTGACTGGTACCTGTAGCAGTTCAGGACATTGACGTCATGTGATTCTTCATGCTGCACCCCTCAGCATGGACGCTTGCATGTTGCAAGGACCGGATTTGCAAAGGGGTCTCCTGGCAACGTCAGCAGGGATAGAAGGAATGAGAAGCCTCACCGCCGCCTGAAGGAGAAGGATGCTATGTTCCGCCACCAGGAAGGTTGTCAGCTGATCCCCGGCCTGAGAAGACACGTTGAATTAGAATCTATCTTGATTTGTGTTGGGTTCCTGCCTGGTGTTTATCATAGGTTTCGCTTCATTCGAACTAGATTAGAGTTCAGAATAGTCGTATATGATTTTGATTAGATTTTGAACTGAGTGTAAACTGGATTGTACACTGATTTCTATTGGATTGTAATTGATTCTCCACTTTCTGGAATTAAACTCGTTTCAGTTAGTTTTGAATGGGTGCTATCTTTAATTGCAGTAGATGAAAGCCAGCTGTGCGGATTTACAAAGGGTTTTCATTCAGTTCCATCTAGTTCATTCAGCAAAAAGCAACCCCCATCGGACTATTGAATGTTGGGGGTGGGGACAAGGGTTTTTAATACTAGGGGCAAGGATCATCAAATACCTCCTATGAAACCCGATACATTCAAGTACAGAAATGTCACCAGTGGGGTGAGGGGTGTTCAATAGTAGGGGTAGGGATTATCCTGAAGCGTGCCTTTGTATGGCCCTGAGCAAAATCAGCGTGCCTTATTGGACACTGGCTATAAATTATCAACATTATGCTTCCTTGAACGTCTTTTTAAAGTGTTTGGAACATTATGCTTCCTTGAACGTCTTTTTAAAGTGTGTTGGACTCCTCAAACTGCACCTCGTATTTTGGGTTTCACGGATATGTTAAGCAGGGACCAAATTTCGGAAACTCTTCATATTTCAACCTCTCTCTGAAGCATGCCGCGTGAGTTTGCCATGCACTGACTGCTTGCCAGCCACCGAAAAGAGACGCTCAGGGTAGAAGAAGAGCGCTGCCAAGCCAACATTCGTGAGAACGGCTAGCAAATTGATGCCCTCAAAGATGGGTCTCCAAACCTGACATCGGGATACATGTCTCACTAACACATATTTCAATATGCCTCAGTATCCTCGGCAAAGGACTATGCCTTCGTATAATCCTAGCCTGGAGTTTGGGGCTTGGAGGTTTGGGTTCTTGCTTTTGGTTGGAAGCTTCTTCAACCCCAAGCCAGGCAATGTCACCATTGTGAGGAATACCATCCACTACGTATGTTGCATCTCAATTTCTTTGCTGTTGAATTCTATTCCCAGTGGTCTCATTGCTGCAACCACTACTACCGTCTCCACCTCATCCTCTTTCGTTGCATCTGAGCCGCGCCAAGGCCGGCACTGGCACGTGGAAGTGGGCGGCGAGTGACCTAGGCTGCTTTGAAGGTCCGAGGAATGTCACTAAAAGCCTAACTACCCAAAATGAGGGCATCCTTCAGCGCTAAGGGGCTTAGGGCGCTCCAAGTGGGATCTGGAGGCGTGAGGATTGAAGCGTTGCTTTGGAACGTTTCTCATTGGAGAACTGCGACATGGCTTCATCTGAGTAAAAGCATTTCTAAGATCAAATCTAAACCATGGTTGCACGACATTCTCAGCCTGAACAAGGACAAGTGTTGAACCTGGACATACTTGAAGCTGCAATCAAGTCACGTAGAGCATGCGGTAGATCCGAAGCCTTCGAGCGCAATGGAACTCTCCAGTAAGAAAATGAGAAGGTGTGCATCTAGGAATTGCCAAGGCCTACTGAGCATAGAAGGGGGACGATGAGGAATGGCACGCTTCAGAAACAAGCCACAATTGTTGCGCCATTGGGCAGTCAGGCACTGTGGCCTCAAGGAGAGCAAAATGCTGACAACGGCCACGGTCGCCATGAATGGGGCGATGACGCCGAAGCACACTACCACTGCATAGGAAATAGCCATGTCCAAAAAGTCATTGATCTCCTGGGTGCGGGTTGAAGGTAGCCTGGTGGCTGAGTCTACCTCCTGACCATGTATGGGGCCCGAGGCCTTTCTAAATTCTAAGGCCCTTCTCATCATAAGCATCTTGCTATGATGGTGGCATAAAGAATGAGCCCTAATTAAGAGACTTCGGACTGAACCACATTCACCAGGTAGGGGGCACTTCCCTGAACCCCATGTTTCTGATGGGGAAATGGTCACAACTTCACCAAGGCCACCCAATCTCTTGAAGCTTCATGTGGCACAGCCTCTGCCTACCCAATGGTGAAAGCTCTGCTTTTCCCGGTAGTTTTCACCTGGTTATATTGACTATGGCGGGTTTCTCGAGGATTGGGCAAGAGCCCCATCCCGCGCGGCAGCACAGAAGACCTGTCGCCCATGTGCTTGTAAATTCCGTCGAGGCTCATCTCCGCCCCAGTTGCCAAACTCCATCTTGAACTTCTTGTTCTCCCACCTGAGTCATGCTTGCTTGGGATTAGACCACAGCGCTGGATACATTACTTGCAAAATCTTGCAAACGTTTGTTCCAGGCGGTCTGGCTACTGCAGGAAGGAATAGGTGGTCGTCCCATTCTCGGAGTGATGAGCCTCTCCCGATTCCTCGGCCTTCTTGTACTCCTGCGGTTAATGGTTAGCAGCCAGCTGCTTCCAGGCAAAAAAAAACTGAATCAGCTGACTGCAATTGTGCCTTTGCAACTTGGTGGGTCCAGGCTGTGGTCAGTACGGAATTTCTTCCAACATGCCTGTTATCATGACACGGGACCTATCTGAAGCCTCCGGCCAAAACACGTCAGTCGCTGGCAAAAAGGCTTCCATGCCCCTGCATGCCTTGTTGATCTCCCAGTACGAGAGCAAGATGGGCAAGACCAACATCACCAGCTCCGTGATAATCTGGAACGCAAAGTAGGTTTGCAGATTCATGGAGACGTTCAGGTCGCCTGAACGCAGTAAAACGCAACTTGAGCAACAACTTGGCGAAAAGCACTGGCCGAATAGGAAGAAGGAATGACAAGAGCGGCATAATCACAAACAGTATTGGTTCGAGAAGCTCTGTGATCACCATGAACTCATCATCTGCTCAGCTCCAGGGCTGACTGCTCTTAAGCTCAAAACCCCACGAGACACCAGCAACGACGCTGGAAGCGATGGAATTCGCACGGTTATCACTACTCCAATCGTTTATAGTAGGTACTGTCATGGCACTGCGGAATGCCAACATCTAATTTCATCTAATTTCCATTTGAAGGCAATCTCGCAAAACATCCCAAGGCTCCCGCAATTTGTGCGACTGAACTCGTGTGCGTTAGTGAAGCTGGCTGGATGGCAGCCGCGGATGCAGGTCCCGCCATCCAATTGATACGTGTACATCTTGAGAACCTGTGCGGATCTCCCAAGCGAACTTCCCGAGCAATGGTGCAGGTGGTAGGAAGAGAACCTCTAGGACCAGAAAAGCAAACAGTAGTCGTAGTAGTCGTCGTGGTCTTTCTTTCGTATTGGTAGTACGTAATTCCAATAACAACAATACATAGCGGCGGTGGAGAGAAGAAATTCGCACTAGCCACCTCCATGGATTCCGGCACGACCATGCTTGCATTGTAACCCGTCCACACCTTCCAGGCGTATGCAGATCACAGCAGCTGTATGTGCAGACCGGAGCAGCACTTCACGCCGGCACACATCAGCAAAAGCCGCAGGCGCAACTCTTTGCTACTGTATTGTTGCTAAGAGGAGATGGCAACAAATGGAGTGAGAAAGATTGTATTGCTATCTTTATGGTCATGGCAGCTTTGCTGTCAGTGTGCTCATTAAGCAGCAATCCATACTGTCATGATGTGAAGAGTGCACGCCGACATAAGTGTCAGGGCTGAAGCTGAAAGCATCACCACTAGCAGGCCTTTGGAGCCACTACCTCGAAAGAGTCCCCGCACTTCGCGGCAATGTAATTTGTGAAGAAGCACTGGGAGAAGAAGGGAAACCTGAGGAGTTTTGCGGGATCACTACCTCAGTGAATGCTCTGGGTGTGCCCAGCTTGTCTCTTCTCTCATCGACTGATAGTGGATCAGGGTCAGCGGCAACAACCACCTACTGCACATGATTGAGGAGCTTGTTACGCAGGCTCTGCGCTGGTTTTGAAGCTGTTGTGGCCACATCGGGTTTTAAATGGTGTTCATGTAACATCATGCTTTCCCAGACTGCCAGATTAGCGCACTGATACGAGCAGTACATACTGCCCTTGTGGAATCAATTAGTTGACCGTCTTCTGAAAGTCTGAAAGCTCATCCTGCCATGATCAGGATCAAAAAATCAGATTCATCAATCATCATGCTACACTCCTACAGCTTATACTGTTGTATCGAACCCTCCGCCAGACCCTAAACCCGCTCTGGACAGTGACCCAGCAACAGCGCCACGAAAAGCTTGACACCAGCAAGCAGAGCGCTGAGTTTGTCCTAGGCTATACGAGATCAGCTTGGGCATAGAGCTTCGGCCTCAGAGTTCAGGGCTGTGGATAAATTTTCCTTCTTGCCGTCATGGGCAATCTTCAAACTTCCAAACTCCATGCCTGCATAGTAACTAGATGAAAAAAGAGATTACGAAGAGATGCCGTCGGGATGGTAGTGGAGGGACGCTGCAAATGAACCTGCGTGTTGCGCGGAGAATGCTTCCTCTTCTTGGGGCGATGGTCATGATCACTGCCAACTCTGGCCGCCCTTTGTGTGAAACCAGTCCATGGGGAGTCGGCTTGGTAGCAGTCTGAATGTCTCAAACACGGCTGCAGCACTGTGCAGGGAAAGGAATTTTCTAGGCTTCTGCTTTGTAGGGAGGCGTTCTTGCATCATATGAGGCCGCATTGTACATCTTCGGAGCTACATTCTGTTTGGGGTGGCCTTTCACCCAGACCGATGTCAAAGAAACTGAACCAAGAATGCATCAACGAAGGGCAACTGCAAAGAAACCTTGCAAAGTCTGCCCCATGAGCAACAGCAAAAACCTAGAGGCCAGCCTTCTATCCGTAACATAGATTGCAACGATATCGTTTCTATTGCTCGTACCGTTTTCCGATGATTTGGCTTTGTCTCAGCTTTTTAGTAGCCCAACTCACGCCGTTTGTGTTCATGCTCATAAAATCCCCAATGCAGACCCTTGATTGATCCCCTTGTCATCCTTCACATATATGATATCTTTGCAAGCTTAGCATCTGTGTAGGCATCCTCGGTTCGGTGGTTCTCCATGTTGACCAGGGTAAGCGCAAGCTTGCTCCAAATCACGTTGCCACCCTGCATGACGACAGAAATTGCTCTCAGAATACCTCGCACTTCAACCCAGAATACAAGCTCCCATGCTTCAAAACCATGTCAATCTCTTGAATGCTCAGTTTGGAATGAAAGAACGGATCCCTTTCTGCTTGTCCACCCATGTTTCCCCCTCATACAAGTCATTCTCTTCTCTCCAGAAAACAACATGCATGATACATATGAAGCTCAATATTATCTTTTCAGCTCTCTCTAAGCCAGAAACGCAAAACTGCTTGATCAAACTATCAAAGCTAAACATGTACCCCTCCAGGACAACAACATATATCAAGGAGAGAACCAAAAAAGGTTGAGTTGAGAAGTCCCTGGACCCCAACTCCCGATCCTGAATCGCTGCTTGTATTCTCTCGATTTGAAAAACGCCTCCACCCCCCCCCCCCCCCCCCCGAGAATATGACACTCCTGACACTACCCTATGACCCTATGATGGGTTGGAGGTGCTTTCAAAGAGGGGCGGGGAAGGAATTACCTCCGTGTCAACCTCTCCTTGATGACTGCTGTCAGCGCCAGAGGAGCGAAGCTGGCCAACGGCCAATCGGGATGTGCTGCAGACCTGGGGCTTGTAAAAAAGCAAGCATACCCGTACAAAGCAGAGGAATACACAGGGTGTTACAAAGGTATAAGGTCTCCCGGTAGTCTTTGCATGCTTTGGAGCCCGCTGGAGCTGTAGGGATGATAACGTCTCCTGGTCCGTTCTCATTACGGATACTGCCTCTCTGACATCGTCAAGGAAGAGCCCTTGCACAGCTGTGATATGATGATTTCCTACCCTGACACTCTCAGGATAATGATCTAGAGGAAATCCTTTCAAGAAAACCAGTTCACGCCAGAACTCTGCATCGGCTTGTAGGCACAACGTACTTTGGGCCCTCTGCAGTGGTGCTGGTGTCGAGAAACCATCTTTCAAACAGGGACTCATAGCCCATCAAGTTTTCTTAATCAATCAAAATTCTCGGCCCAATTCAGACACCTACTTTACTCCTGACCCTAGCTCATGGGGGTGGTTTCCGCTTCTGTACCGCAAGATGCTAGACACAGCACCCACACCAGCCCCACAACTTTTAGTTAGAATGCCCGGAGCCCTCAAATAAACCCTGCACCCTTAAATCCTACAACTCCTTCTTTGGAGTCCTTGTGGACAACTGGGCTCCCAACTTCACCTGCCATGCCAAAATGACACCAATGGCACCTGGCACCGCGCAGCTGAGACGACTCTCACTCGCACGCTGTAGGATGTTGCAGGCCCCCAGGATTTCTGGGGCTTGGGGTTCTAGGATTTCAGGGCCTGGGCTTCTTCTTCATGAGATGCATGAGTCCAAAGGATGCGCACACTTCAGCCATGAAAAACCCACCAGAAAGAGGCCGCGGCCTCGCAGTCCCTTGGGCCCTTGGGCTAGCGAGAAAAGTGCAAACAGAAACCCTTGCGCACCCAGGCTCAGGGCTTCAACGAAACCGAGCCATGGCAAGTAAGCGACCTAACGGAAAAGATATTCCGGCACAATGGGTCCCCAACAGGTCATCCTTCTCCGTAGGACCCTCAGACTAAGCCACCGATAGGTGCAGTGGCAGCATATGCACAAACCAGGGCCTAGCAAACTCGAAGCTAACGATCCGGGTCATTAGCACAACGTGGCAACGCAACAATGACTACAAAGGCCATGTGCAGAATCCGGCATTCTTTTTCAAAGTTTTCCGTCTTTGATCGCAGAAGCGCTGTAGAAAATTTTGCTCTACAGATTAGCAAAAAGGAACAGTCACCTGTGCAGGAGGTGGCAAACGTACTGTTCCACATTTGAGGGCTGTGTGAGGTCGCTGGTTGCCATGGAGAAGCCAGGAAAGTAGCTCAGGAACACCTCGGCCAGGCAGTTCAGCCATCATGTTCACCTTCAGCCCATCCCCTCCACAATTCAAGCCAATCATCTCCAGCAGCCTATTGACATCCTTGGCCATGTCCAGAGTGCGCACGAATGTGATCATGGTCTCCACAATCCGCAGGCCCATCTCACCAATCACAATCTTCACGGCCACCAGCTCCATGGCAAAGCACTCCTCGAAGAACGGGACGGTGTAGCAGCCGCAGCATTGGAAGCTTATCATGGGGTTCTCATATTGCTGGAAAAGGCTCATGTACTCCGTTGGACTTGAAGTCGGACATGCACACAATGATGTGCCTGGGATAGACGGAGGCAGCCAAGGTTGCCAGGCCCACCGCAATCCTTTTGAGATCTTTTGAGTTAGAACTTGTTGGGCTTGGGGCTAGAGTATCCCCGCATGTGCTTATCAACCAGCGCCTTGCTCTCGCCATCCAGGGTGTCGCAATTCGCAGCGCCTTGGGGATCTTTGTGGTGCAACCAGATCGCATTGTTGATGACGAACTTGAGGCGGGCAAAGCCAATGCCCTCTTTGGGAAGCTGACCAAAGTTGAAAGCCATCTCTGGGCTGCCAACGTTGATTATGAATTTCGAGCCTACCTCTGGAAGCTCGCAAAGGTCCTGCACATTCTTCTCGAACTTTAGCTTACCCTTGAAGATGCAGCCTGTGTCAACCTGAGCGCATCACACAGTTGCTTGGTCGCCCTTCGTCACCGTCTTTCCCAGCCCGTAGGCTGAAGTCCCAGACATCAAATCTCGGTAGCCGCTCTCTGTGTTCACATCAGCGGGGCCGGTCTGGCCGAGCACCATTTTTCATGGCAAGTGGCACGCAGTTGCACCTTGTCGTCCTTAAAGCCGCGGTTGTGGCAGTATGACGTTGCTTGGCCTGCAAGCAAGGAATCAAACACCAAGTGCGCGTTTCCTTCATATCGTCATAGCCCATGACGTCTCCTGCTGGCCGGCAAAATGATGCATCAAGCAAGTCCTCTACCCCTGTCAGACAAGCTCACTGCAGAGGTGAACAGAAGCATCGCTGAACCACAAAAAAGGCGTACCATAGCGGTACTGGGGCATATCCATTTTCCTACCAGCCTCGCTGGTGAGGCTATTTGGGCCCTAGGGCCTGGCTTGGGGTCTATAGGGCTCTGGTTGCAGCGAGAAGGATGAGAAGGGAACTTTATAGGGCTTACATGGGATAGTCAAGGGACAGGGTTAGGGTTCAGGATGAACCTTCCCCAAACAAATAAAGAACCCCATAGGCCGTTCTTAAATCGTGCCCACAATGGATCTTGTTTAAGGTTCCACATTTACCTAGGCGGGCTTTGTCTCCTCCCCGCCAAAACGCAGGAACTTGAGCGGCTTGGTTGGGAACACTAGCATCATGTTAAGAGCATGACGCAGCCTTGCCCTCAGCGTTGGCTAAACAAAAGATCATAAAACAGTTGAAACATGTCATAGGTGGCAGAAAGGTGCCAATATGCGGGGTAGGGACCAACCGGACCAGCACCTTACTGCCTTAAGTACGCGCATCCCACCCTACTCCTTCGCGCTCTGAAGGAATCATCAAGCAAAAGCGGATCCCCTAAATTTTCAGGTATGGTGACACGTTTTGATACGTTACCTCATCAAAAACATGCAGGCAGCGCCAACATACAGCAGAATGTAGAGAAGGGTGATAAAGTTCACAACCGTACCCATGAAATTCGCATTGACCTTTGGGTCCCAGTCAGGATTGATCTGCACATGATGCTCCTGCATCGGCAAAGACGTTTGACTTGAGCGTGCTTCGCGGAACCGTCCCCTCCAAAATTGAACACACATTCTCACCCCCGATATCATGCACTTTGTACTTTGGGCAACATAATTTAACAGAGAGAGGTCAAGATGTGGGTTGCATACTAGGGGATGCGTAGCTGCCGCGCAGACCCGTGTAGCCAACTTGCGGCCCCTAAATGTCTAAGGCACTTCTGCCAAGCTTCCAAAACAACTTCGGGGCCGTAAGGGACATCCTAGGTAGGTAGATGACGAAATAATAGTTTGCTCCATCTAGGGCTACAGGTTGTAATCTCTTTGGAATTATGCTTGAGAGTTTCCCAGAAAATGCCAATAACTTATGGAACTACAGCAACGGGACACATTATGACAAGTGGCGCGGCAATGAGAGAAGCCTCTGCAACAAATTGCAATAAGAAAGCTGATCAGCCAGAATAACAGTAAGTTCGGACTTCCCTTCATTATTTGAGGTATGCACGCAGAAAAGCTACTGCAGTACACTCTCCATCCGAATGTGCTTAAACATTCCAGGAACGCGGATCCCTACATCCTTATGAAGCCGAACCAAGGACCCTAAGAAGCCAAAAGCAGGAGAGGTGCCTCTGGTTAGTAGGGAAAGTAGCGAAGTGTGAAAGTGTAGAGGGATCTCCTGCTCCGAGACGCCCCAAAGCTGCTTCAAGCGCTCCGTGCGAAGGCTCCAAACCTCCACTCCAGTTAGCATCCAGGAAACGTTAGATCGAATTTCAAACTGCATTGTGCGTCCCTGTCCCATTTTGGGTAGGGGTAGAAATGGCCCTGTTTCCCTCTGCCAGCCTGGAAAACACAGGCTGCCCACAGGGAGACGAGAACCGCCAAGCCACTTCGTGCTGGGCCAACCCATTCTGCGGGCAAGACCGTGTTCCTCACACGGTAAGGCGACACTCATTTTATGGGGACAGCTTTAAGGGGACCCTGAGGCAGATCCGGGCTTCAAACATTCTCTTTTGGGTTCGGAGGTTAACCCACTTCTTTACTGGGCATCCACACGGCCCTCGCGCAGACTGTCGCAAAGCCGCTTGAAGGAAGTCTCCGTACCCGTGCATTAAGTTTGCATACTATATACTCGAAACCCATATGGCGTAATTATGCGCAATTATCTAAGCGAAGTCAAAGCTGTTCAACTTGGCAAAGTTCAGAGGATGATGTAAGTGCATGGTATCACTGCTCAGATCAATGCCGAGGCGCCTGGCGATGAAGAAGAGCAAGCCGAAGCCCCCTAGGAGGAGCAAAGCGGCGCAGAGGAAGGACACGAAGCGGAAGTAGAAGGTGATCTCCTCCAGTATTTAGAGGTTAGGATTGAGGTTTATAACTGAGATGGACGGAAACAACTATATGTTTCTTGGCTCCTTTGGGCCTTGGGGCTACATCATTGCATCTGATCATCCCAAATAGATTCCAGGCCTCTCCAAAGTAGTTCTTCATCAGCTCAACAGCAGATGCTTGCAAAGGTCTTCCAAATCGGGAGGGAGCCAGCATCATCGCGTGCATTTTTTCGAGGTCGTCCGCATCTGGGCAAGGATAGTAACTGTTAATCACACCTTGGCGCTCCATCTCATCCAAGCTGACCTCAAATTCAAATCAACAAGCAGAAAAATGCTGCTTCGGGCCGTTTTCGGATTTGTGTTTGACACTACCTGACCCATGTATCATCCCCAAGTAGCCTGTACAAAAGCTGCCATCACACAGAAAGAAAGGGATCCAAATTGCAGAGAGGTGCCCACTGGTCCAACCAGAACTCCAAGACCCTAATGGCATCCAGCTTGCGGAAAGGCTGGAAAGAGTGTCTGTTCGCCTGGGAAGCATGGGCAAAATCCTTCTTGACCCTAAGTTCACTGCAACACCATCACACCCTGAACCCTGAAAACCTTAAACCACGAAACCCTTTGACTTGTGATACTTGAAAAGTCGGATCAGGTTTTTGAGGTTTAGGGCTCAGGATTTGAAGCGACTAATCCCCTGTTCCACCCCTAGAGGGGACCCGAGCATTCGGATCATGATGTTTCATGCGGGTGCAAGGAATCAAAGAAAGACTATCTGAATGTTTGGCTCTTTCCACCCATTGTCTTGCCACCGACCCACTAGGAGGAACCAGCCTTACAAAATCAGACGCCCAAAGAAACCATTTCTTGACCCTTGAGTGGGATGTCATCACTACGTCCAAGCCCGTGATATTCGTCCATGAAGTAAGGAAATCTACCATTCCAAGGGTATAGTTACTGAATGCTACTAGCATGACTACTAACCCAAGCCCTACTCTTTCCGAGTCTGCCTTGGTGAAGGTGTCGTATGCCAGCACCACCTTGAGATCTCACTAGGGACACTTGTGGAATTCTGGGTTAGGGAGTGCAGGGCCACTCCACTCGGTCAAGAATGTCAAGAGTTAAGAGGGTTTTCGGTGGTTACATGGACAAACTCCCACCTGCCCTTCGTCGTTCACCATCGGGTCTCGGCCTCGCAGGCTGTCGCAGGCTGCAGATGTGCTGTTCTCAAATTGTTGGGGTCTTCTCTGGGATGTTAAGCTTACCTCTCGGATCCGTACGGCTGAGAGCTGTAGAGACCACACAGTAATCATGTCATGCGGATTTTCTGGGGTTGAGAAGTTCGTGGGCTGCCGGCCACTGAGCTTTAGAAAGCCACTTGGCAAGGCCATCGTGTCTGAGTTCAAGATCCTAAAAACATCTAAAACCTAGCCGCCTAGCCTCGACCTTGACTTCACAAGGACGAGCTTGTGCTGCTGCACAGGGGTGTCGACTATCAATCTTGACCAGGGGGCTGCTGCTATCACCCTGTGAGACGAGGCTTCTTAGTGATCTGCCAGTCGAGATGCGGCGCAAGCTGAATCCAGCAAACCTTCCTGAAAGCGAGCGTTATGTGGGCCGTAATTCTCACTCGGCCATTCAACGCAAACTTAAAAACATTCTGTTGGCCTGCTGATGGAAGCGCATCCCTGTAAACTTTAAACCGACCCGCCAACTCAAGATGCACATTTGCCTGAGTAGGCACCATGTGGCTCGACTTCATCATACGCGCTCTCCTCTTGTGGCGCTGGTTACCGGAGGCTATGGCCGTAGCAGGTAGTAGCAGCAGTACTCTCATCGTCTTGATCGTGGACGTGGTTTGGTCGTGGTCGAGTGGCGGCGGCGGGGGTGGTGGCGGCGGCGGAGGCGGCGGTGACGAGTGATGGCGGTGATGACAGTGGCGGTGGCGGCGGCTCTGGCAGCGGTGGTGGCGTGCTGGCGGTGCTGGTGCCGGTGATAGCGGCGGTGGCAGTGGCAGCGGTGCGGCTGCTGCTTCTGCTGCTGCTGCTGATGCTGCAGTAGCGTAGCACTTTGGTCATAGTAGTTCGTTTTCCGTACCACATCAGAAAAGAGAAAACCACCCAGACTTAAAAGAGGGGGAGGTGGAAAGTGTAGATTACAACTTTAACTCCCCAATCGACGTGAAAGCGTGAATTGCAGCATCCCGTGCTAGAGGTCACATCTTGCAGCCACTCTGTGCATGACGAGACATGCACGCCTCCCCCGCCAACTTTCCCCGAAGACGGCAAAAGCTTCCCATCCTTCAACCGCATCTGGTAGTGCAAATGCTCGGCCATCGTCTCAAGCGCTTCGGAATCAAGCGGAAGGTACACCTCTCAGAAGCACTGCTTAGGTATGAGGCAGCCTGAAACCTTGGCTTCTTGATTAAGAGGCAAAAGTCGAGATACCAGTCAAAAGCAGCTGCAATCTGCAAACTTGTAGGGTATACTCAATTCGCTGCTGGAAGCGATCTGGGGGCTTGACGCTTAGGTTTTGACCTGAAAGAACCATTCTCCAATCAAACTTGTAAAATGCGGAAGCAGCATGCTGTCAGCGACAAGTCAGCTAGCACTTGGGGTCTTAGCCTGATGACTGGGGAGGCCAGGCAAAATCCCCGTGGCTATTACCCAAGATGTAACTACGACATACTACGACCTGACCTAAGCCGGATGACGCACACTTCTTGTTCGAGGACTGAACTAAGAGCAGTTTGAGGATAACGCTTTCCAAATGTCTGCTTCGTTTTGTACATCCTTTATAGACCCTTTGCATGATGGCCGGCTTGCACATTTTGCCCTTGGATGCACCCATTATGACGTAAATCCAAGCTACAACTCTGATATACTGCTCTATGTAAACGACACGGTACTGCAGCTCATCACGACCAACTCACATCCCAAAATTGCTTGCCATCCCGCGTCCTTGAGAAAGTCTTCGTCCTTGTCCATGCTGGGAAACTGCGTGGCCTTTCAAAACACACAACAAGCGGGAGCCTGTTACTGACCTGACAGGTAAAAGGACTAAGGGAGTTTCTGTTGGGACTGTTTATACCTAAAATCTGCATCGCCCTAATGCTCTGAACGCTGGGAATTCTCGGAGTTCGGTATCAACAAAGTCTTAATGTCGATGGGTTGTGGCACTAGGATTTGGCAGAAGGCTCAGCGCATATTTCTCAACATGAAGGTCATCCTTGATGGGGCTCACCGAAAACTACACAGGACCTCTACACCCAGATACAAACACACTTAATTGTGAAATTCATTTACAAGTATCTGTTTAATGATCGCGTTTTTGAAGCCTCGAATGCAGCTTCTAATCCTCAACCATAAACTCTGAACCTTCCAAATCCCCATCGCCCTCGAAATCCTCAACGCTGAATCTTCAATCGCGAGCCATATATACTGCAGACTTCTAAACAACCCTAAACCTTGAATCTTACAGCCCAAGCCCTGCACCCCCAATCTTCTGGACTGAACCCCTCCAAGCCTGGAGCCCCGAGGCATCCAGAATCGACACAAGGAGGTTACGCACATCCGTCTGGTACGAGACCATGTCTACGCTTGCAGGGTTCTTCCTGGAAAGCTTAGACACGCGCAGCACTAGTTGGTCCGAGCTCATGCTAACAACCACCTGCACTTGCGTGGAATCAATACAAGCAAAGCTACTCACGCTGTAGCTTATGCACTATAGAAACACACACTGCCCGCCTAATCTGAGCTGGACAGGGATAACTTCAAATTTGGGCTCTGCAGACTACATTCTTTGCGCCTGCTGGACAGTGTCTACAGTAGCTTCTGCAAATGGGGCCTATGGTGTACCCAAAACCAAATACCACGTACCATAGCACAAAGCAGAGGCAAACGCCCAGCATGAGGACTCACTCCTGGCGCTCTCTTTTTCATGGTAAAGGCAGGGGTGACAACATCCTTTCAACCACCCACTAATCAGAGCTGAAACAACAAAGTCATGACCATGACCCTCATTGCAATCAAATATTCTGGCACCACAGCGCAACTAGAATTCATAGCGCCAGCGATGCAACAAAAAACACATTGACCAGCCAGAAAATGGAGTTTCTCAAAATCATCTCTGGACCAAAAAAAGGCCCCCAACAAAACAACCCTATAAGCCTGAAGCATAGCCCAAATATCCCTCAATTCCCTGGGGCACCCCTGTTTTGAATGAATCTCTGGCGGGGCTCTGCAGGCAGGGCATCTGGGCGAGGTTCTCATCGCTGGCAGGATTGTCCTCTAGACTTTGTAGACTCCTAACCATTTAAGCCCAGTTAGGGATCCAGGTCATGAGTTATGACCTCAATTGTAACATTACACCACTTATTAAGTTCCATGAACCTCCAAGTAGTTCCTTAGATTGAGGTTTGTGCGTTATCGAAGCTCTGGAACATGTTTCGGATCCGCGAGTTATCGCAGATAAACATCACGAACACTTTCTGAGTAGACTTGGCTCTATCCTTTATGAGCTATCAGCTGCTGAACAGATGGTTCGGTCTGGTAGCAATGCAACACAGGTGGAAGCCCTGACAATTGAAACAGTTTTCGGCAGACTTGGAGTTTCTGAAGGTTGCATAGCCTCAAAATATCAAAATTTTCTGAGCAGAATCCAGTGGCTGGAGTCACGAAGATTTTCTCTGCCTGCTCCCTGGGGTTTGCCACCTGGATGTCTGCTCACATTCGTCACTATTGTACCCCTAAACAGGATCCCTCCTAGTAAAATTCATTCCCATTATCTCGGGGCCATTTGTCATTTTTGGGCGGCGTGTTCATGATTCGGGGCAGGTGCTCAGTGAAGCCCATTGCAAGGCATGTTGGCAAAGATTAAGAGGTATGCCCCACACCACTTTCCATCGGTCCACATTTAAAGTACCATGCCCACCTCTGCATCCGGAGACACAGTCCCTCCTGCTGTCTTCACCCTCGGAAACGTGATGACGAAAGTGCAAGACCTCGGCGGGGAGGCTCCCTTCGGTCTTCTACATGGGCATCCGCAAGCCAGGGCGATGAAGTTCTACCCTCACACCCTCAACAGCCACAACATCTTGGGACATAATATCCGGATGATAATTGCCGTCATGCGGCTGCGAGTCGATCTCGAGTGGCGGTGCCCATCCCCGGAACCTGAGTTGCTGACAACAAGAAACTTACAAACTAAAGTCACAGAAAGGAAATCTGGTGCCCTCTGCTCTCTCTCATGTACAAATTCCATCGTAGATCAAGAAGTCAAGCTCTTTTGGTAGCAGCCCAGGAACTGACGGACGTCTTCCGTGATGGCTTTGGGATCCTCGCGGTCAGTGGCAACCAGAAGCATGGAATCATCTCCATAGCCTGGATGCAGAGAAAACAAGGGTCCCCATTGCAGGTTATTCTTGATCGCATGGTTCTTTTGTAGCAAAAGACTTTGAGGCCTGACAGAGTTGCCTTGCTTACTGGCGGTTGGTAGGGAAGGGAGGACTGGATCATTCTAGGAGCCCCTGTATATGAGTGTAGCCCCCGATTCTTCCGTTACTTTCCCCACAAACCACAACTGAGATTGTGTCCAGCAGGATTGGATTTGACTCCTCCCTCCCCGCCTGGTGCGGCAGAGTTGGGGACCGGAACTCGCATATATCTGGACATTCCCACTGGATACGTGCACCTTCGGCAAGATATCCTTGAGCCACACTTGGAACTGCCAGGCAGGACTTGCAGGGTGTCTGGGGCAATCATTCAGTCATGAGAGTTGTGATGATGGCGCTTCTGAAAAGCAATATCGGTAGGTGAAGGGTCGGCATCAGATCAGGATGACAGAATTACCTTCGACCTGCCCCGACTGACTGTCCTTCTAACTCTTTCCCGCCTCTAAGGGTAGACAGTCCGCTCCTGAATGAAAAAACTCTTCTGCTCTGCATTGCTCTGCTTGAAGGTGGTGTGGCATAAGCAAAGTCTGCCCTGGAAGAACAACCACCTGGAACCCGGTGCGCCGCGTTACTCATAATTTAATATAATGTGTGCCTCAACTTTTCTGTGGCAGAAGGCATGCGCACGCTCTTGTTGCTGCCTTTCTACATTTTTCTGCATGAGGAGAATGTGTCAGGGTCCATTGCGCGCACAGGTTGCGCACAGCTCTGCCTTGTTACGAACTCCGCTGGCAGCTGTACAGGAAAGCAAAGCCTCAAAAGCTATGCCCCCCATTTCGGTGCTTGCATCAAATTTCTGCGTGCATCGAATGTAGTCGTAAAGCTTCACATCAGGCCTTAGTCAGGCGCAGGCAGACGCGGCTTGCGGTGAGTCTGCATGAAGGAAACTCTTCGAAGCTCCATATTATCATTTGTAATGGCTGGCCGCTGGCCTCAGAGGAAGCCTGACTGCGAAAAACATCATTGACAGAGGTCCACGGCCCACACATGGCAATTTCCACAAATGAGTTGGTTCTGAAAAGCCTACCCGCGGGGTCCTGTGCTGAAAAGCGACTGGCTCTGTCTCAACAACACCTACAGCGTCTGCCCGCCTTACGGACTACGGCCGAGGCCTGAAGCATCCTGAAGCTGTCAACACTCATTCCCTTAATCTTCCCCTTGTCATGCATTTGATGACTCCAAAATGACCCTTCCGTGTTCGCTTTTGAAAAGGAGACTAGTTGACAGTGGATTGATCTCGGTCGCACTGACCGTCAGTGCATCTGCGCGACTGCACATACAAACCAACAGTCATTTTTGCTCACGCTTTCTGATTCGTTTCGTATGAACAGCTGCGCATTACCAGCATGAAATTGGCAAAAGCCACAACTGCTGCATCAAACACGTGTAACTCGGCTGAAGTATCTCCTTTTCTCCTGTCACTCAAGTCTTCACAGCTTGAAGCCAGTTTCAGCTAGTTCTAAGCCTCCGGCATCACAAGCGCAACTTCAATGATGTGGGCCAAACCTTGAGGCTCTGCGGCTTTTTCTTTGTACTGGGCGATGAGATCCATTTTTTTCGCAGTGACTTAAACCCAAGGGGCACGGTGGGGAGGGACAAAAAACTTACTGCCCAACACTTTGGTGAAGCAAGAGGGCTTGGTGGAAAGGGCCACCCACCCTCATATTTCTTACGCTTTCAAAGCTGGCAACGTAATGCAACGAAGTAGAGCGCACTTACGAGCAGGACCGGCGGTGAAAAGTGCAATGGTCACAGACGCAGCCAGAAAGTCTGAGACATCCTTTGCTCCCCAACCGCCCTGCCTCAGGCATAGCAAACAGCTTGGGTCCCTTCATGGGGCCGGGGCCTCTCAGAATACGGATCCCATGGCATGGCGGTATCACGAGATCCCTTTTAATGGATAAATTCCCGCCTGCTCCTGCGCATACCAAGCAGTTGGCTGTGCTCTATGTGACGCTGGGGTCCGCGCACGTGACCAACCACAGCCTTTGTCTTTCCCATGGTGGTGGAACCTGTCTAAGGATAGGGCACACAAAAAGACCGTGAGGGATACGGAAGGATTAGAACTATGTGCCATGTCGATTTTAATTCTTTGCCAAGTACGACAAGTGAGCGCTGAATCCCACAACAGGGAAGCTGGAAGGATCATGTTCTGAGGCAGGTGCCACTGGTCTTTGGGCAAGCTGCCTCCAAGCAGAGCGTCACACCACCAAGCTGTGAAGCACAACTGCAAAACGAATTCAAAGGCGGCTTGCGGTATCTCGTGTATCCTCCTTCTCTGCAGGAGTCTTGGCCCGATTATGCATGCGTTTTCAGATTTTGGGCTGCAAGCATGCGAGGCGCCCCATGTCTTGGTACTGAGGTGCCCTGCTTCAGCCAGGCAGGTGCCCTGGCCTCTTGCTATTCTGCCAGCTGCCTCTAGAAAGGAGCGGCATCCAAAGCCCAAAAAGTCCATCCTGAATTTGACGATTCATCTCCTTGATGTTGTCTATCCATACGTTTTCTCGGGCGCGTAGTCAGGACGAGCCTCCGTTGGGAAGGCAAAGCGCATGTCCTTACAAACATTGCAAGCTTTTATCCACCTGTATTGCCCTTCATGGTGACACGAAGAATATGGAGGATGCGAGTTTTGCAGCGGTCCTTCTTACCGCGGTGGAAGGGGGAGAACTCTGAGTCATCCTTGCGACAAATCCATGCAACTGACAACTAGACGTTGATGCATGCGTTGCACATAGAGGTTATTTGTAGCCAGCATGTGCGCAAGGGTGAAAACTTTGCATGCGTCGACATCGCTTCTTTCAATAACATACCAGCTGCGTTCTGGGAAGCACCTGCCTCAGGATTGCGCCGAAGAGGGCCTGAGCCACCGCGACTCATCCGAATTCTCCCTTGCTATCCTCTGCCCTATCTTCTGCCAAGACCTGCAGAAGAAGAACACTTGGAGCATCGCATGCCAAACTCCCTATACTACGTTTTCAGACTCCTACAGTAGACCCATCACCTCCACAGTTCTGACTGAGCCATTTGCCAGTGCAGCGCGAAGTGCTTGCCTTGAGCCGCAGATCATTTCAATCATTCTCTGGCGTTGAGGATGACGTTGCATGTCTCGTTAGGTGGCAGGCAATTCTTTTTACTGTGAATCCTGCCGTGTAGGGCTCTGTTCTACAGGCAACATTGGAACTTGGCATCGCTTCAAAAGCGATCGTAATTTTGTAAGTCGAAGCTTTTTTCCTCTCCGTGGATTTTCCTAAGCCCACCTAAATCCTTACAGGCACAGAGCATGTAGATTATTAGGCGTAGGTAGCTTCGCTCGAAGCTTCAAGAATTCGAGATCTTGGATAGAGTGAGCCAGCCTGTTGTGCTCACGATTGAGCAAAGGAAGCAGCCCACGTTTACAGATGCAGGGGAGGGCGCATGCTGCATGAATAAAGCTTGCTGGCAGAGCTCGCAACAGCTCGTGGGATGGCAGCAACATCAAATGTCTCAGCTCTTCCAGGGAGCACGGAGCTTGCGGAGCTTGATCTGATGCGGACCCTCATCCCTCGCCTGCAGGACTCTGAGGCAGCTGCCTGTGGTGTTGGCACACTCTGGGGCGCTGTTGCCGCCTTTTGCAGACTTTTGAAACAGAAACCGACTGGTTGCTTGCCTCCGAGCAGGCACGTGAATGCATGGAAAAACATTACAACAGTCAAACGTGGCTCGTGAATACACTAGGCCGACTCGTTGAAACTCGTCACTGAGGGGCCCGTATTGTGTGCCCGCCCATCAACAGTGCATTCGTTTCTAGGCCTGTCCGCAAAGCGCTACGAGTCACGTGACCTAGCACTCCAACCTTTCAAAGAATGAACATCATGCCCATGGGAACTTGCCGCAGCTAGGGCAGCTAGGGTCTCTTGTCACCCAAAGTGCTGAGATGCCGTATTCTCGAGGGAGACCCAAATAAGTTCATCAATCCCAGAGCGCTCCATCTGCGATTTGCTTACTCAGAGGCGCACAGGCACCTTGCTCCAGGTGATTTGCTCCTTTGCATCAGCATTCAATATTCCAATATCAACCGACCATTGCTCTCAGGAAGAAATCTTCGCACTCCTCAGTGAGCTGCCTTGTTGAGCAGAATTCCACGTTGCCATGAGGCATAACTATAAGATCAAACCAATGTTTGGCAATTCACTTTGCTACCTGATGCCCTTTGGCGATTGGCCGGACATATCGATGACATTGGCCAATGCCGATTACTTTTCAGCACACTCCATATGAGCGGCTTGGCTACGTTGAAGCTGCAACAAGTGCGCATTGCGCGTTGCGTAAGGCAGGTTATGTCAGGCAGAGTGTAAGTCCAACCAAACCCCTCTCTCCGGCAACCAGATTTCTCAATGAATGTGGGAAAGGCAAAGATCATGCCGCACAGCAACTCCGCAGCAGCATCCCACCTTTAATGTCACTAGACCTAAAACCAACATCAAGCTGCAAGTCTGCGCTGAGAAGAGAACCGATTGAAAAGGTCTGGTTTTGCCAGAAGTAACCACAACGTAACGAACCCCACAGCTGCTGCAGTAGCAACTGAAACCGTGCAGGGTCCTTTGGTCGCTCAGATATGGCTGGTCGCCTGAACGTTATGTGATGGTTTGTCCAGGTGCTGCCAGTGCAAGGCACATCTTGCAGGAAGCAAGACCCGAGCCTGGGAGTAGGTGTAGGAGCACGCTCTATGGCAGCGTGCTCGAAAGCGTCGCGCAGCTGCTTCACCTGAGGTTAGCACGCAAGCAGCAAGGAGTTGAGGCTTTAATATCACCGGAGCAAGCTGGCTCTTCGAACATGCTGCGATGACTGATGTCCCAACATAAGCCAACGCTCCAACAGTAGGAAGATCATGGAAGAGCCACTTCGACAAGGCCTGAAGATAACCGCCGCTGTATCTGAACTTCCTTTTTAAGATGTCCAACGCATGAAGCCACAAGCAGGATCTCCGTACACTTTTTGCAGACGATGATGCCTGGCGCATGCCGGGGCAGCCTGCTTCAAATAACTGGGCCGTGTCCTGAACTCCCATGCAAAAGAACACCAGTTCTTGGCCGAAGTCATGCAAACAGGCAACCATCATGTAAAACAGAATTGTCCTCAACCCTGAACCCTAAAACCCTAAACCGCATCATCCCAAATCTGCTGTGGTAGCCACCACACCAGCTGGTGGCGGTTGCTCTTGCGACGACTGGACCTTAAGATTAAAGCACTCAACTGCTTTAGAGTAGCAGGATACAGAGCAGGAGAACCTCCGCAAGATGGGTTTGGGGTTTCTGCCCTCGTGTGATGAGACGTCAGGAGCTATGAGCAACAGCGCAGCACGCCACATGCCCCTTGAGTTGCGACTTACAAGTACTTCTCACAGGAGTGACTGAATACCAGCATCAAAGGAAACAACCACACTGAACTACGAGAAACGCTCTCTCTGTCTCTCTCTCTCTCTCTCTCTCTCTCTCTCTCGTCTTTCTTTCTTTTCTCTTTCATGCGGGCTATGGGCTGCCCCTAAGGGAACAGCCCGGGCTCCTGCCCA